TAGGAAAAGGACAGAAATAACTGCAGCTATTAAAAGTGATATACTGTCGAAATATTTTTGTGATTATGCTAAAAGTCGACTTCTTGAAAGAGCTCTTCAGTGGTTACTGCTTCCTCAAAGAAAAGCTAGTTCACATGTGGACTGCTTTTAAAATACACTGAATGGAGTTGCTTCTAAGTGTCAGATTTGTTCTTCTCACTGCCCTTTTGAGACATTTGAAAAAGACATAGTTGAGAGAAAGAGGAAATTAGCAGATCAGGAAATAATCCATAATAAATCAAAAGACAGTTAATGTAGCCATTTTTTTGTTTCTGCTATCATTAGATTGGGTGTAGTAAAGCAGAATTCATCAAACTTTCCAAACACAATGCAGAGTCCTCCGACTCAGACAGTAGCATTCACTTTGGTTTATTTGCATGAAACTAATATCTTCAGCTGTCTTCCTCCACCCCTCCTCTCCTGAAATGACAGATGTTTGAAGCTGAGATCCAGATACCTCAACCAACTTTAATAACCCCTCTTTAGTTCCAGAAGAAAGGAAATGGCTTGTAATACCATAAAGTCCCTGAGAGACATAGAGTATTTCTTTTCCTTGTGACTTCTGTCTCTGCAGATGGGCTTTAACCCAAAAACTGTGGAAGCTGATAGAAGAGCAGTGCTGTACCCATGCCAACAGGCCCTGCTGAAAGAAAAGGTATAACAGCTCAGACTTCAACTAGACAATTTATTGCAAACTCTCTGAGTTCTTATTTGCCTCACTCAACCAGACATTAGTGGAAAGTTTCATATACTTCTTCAGGTCACTCTGGCTTAGAAAGCTTGGATCAGACTACTGTGAAACAGAAACACCATCATGGGCAAAGATGATGAGTAGTACTAATAATCCTTATAATTAATGGGTAATATAGATTTTTATTTATATGTCCAGTGAAAAACCACATTATGGACAAATAAATGTTTTCTGAAAAAGAGAGAAATAGTGAGAAATATGGTTGTTGCTACACTATCAGTCAGTGGTATGGGAATGTTCACATACAAGGCCAGCCCTGTGGATTGCATAAATTGATATAGGATTGAGCTCATGTTGAGTCACATCATCAATATAACCTTGCTGAACTATTTTCATTTTTGTCATTGCCACCTAAAAGCAGACCAACAGTAGCTGAGAGTAGTGTGAACCACTGTTTAAAATTTTCCCAACCAAACTGAGAGAGAGTCAATGTGATTTCCATTTTGTTGCTGGAATTCATTCCCTCTCTGGATACTGCCAAACCAACCCAACTAGGGATGATTCATCTACAGGGTATCATAAAGTACTTCTGAAAGGCTTGTGTTTTGCCTTCGGAATGCAATGAATTACACCAATAGTTTGTGATGCTCCTGTGTGGGGGAAGACAATATCCCTGACTCTTCCCTACAAAGATTTTCCCAGTCTGCATTCTGCAGTATTAACTGCATGCTCTGTTTATTCCCCACTACCTGAGAAAAGCATTGAGCATTTGTTCCTTTGGTAAAAATCACCCTCCCACTCTGATTTTGCTTCTGAGACAAATTTTTTTGCTTGCATAGGAAAACAAATTAACAAATTGCCCAATCCCTCACTCTTCCTTGTTTTCCTATTTTCAGCCTTGTGGTAAAGAGATGTATGATGAGCTGTAGAGCAAAAAATCTGGGAGTCACATCTAAAATACCATCAGTACATAATGCAAAGATATAAAAACCAAAAAAAGGGTAAAAATAAAACATGTAGACGAAAAAAATATTCCATAGGAGGTGAGAGTAGAAACCAGTAGGACTGTTTTATTTAGAAGGGATCTGATAGATCGCATGGCAGTTCACATGAATTAATGAGTAAACGTTCATTTGGCTGATAGTAATTTTTCCTTTAACTAAACATTTTTCCATTAACCAAAATTGAACCCAGTTTTATAGCACAACATATTGTAAAGCTATGAAATTTGCTACCTCTTAAATTGTATTAATGAGCCAACAATCTAATATGACTTTAAATTGGGTAAGAGTTTCATATTTACAGAATACACCACCCCTCATATTTAAGGACTGAAATCAAATGTTTTGCTGATTGGAGTTAGGAAAAACATCATTGCCAGTAAATTTTTGCATTATCTGTCATGGCTAATAGACAACTTTAGTTGAAGCCGCTGGGTTCTGGCAGCTTTCAGCAAAGGCCCTTGGAAAGCCTATTCTGATTATGACAATTTCAATGATCCTGTGTAAGATTACAAAAAGTTGTAGAAGGAGGTAAAGAAAACGAAGAAATTCCACAGTAATCATCTCACTTATATCTGTATAATATACCAGGGGAGACAGAAAAACATTGAGGTTCCTAGCTTTGAGAATTTACCAAATGTGCACAAGAGGTATCTGAAGTCATACCTCCAGTCAGCTCCTTAGCTGTCAAGAGATGTTTCACATCTGTATTGATGTAATCGGAACTCCTGATGTGAAATTTCTTAGAAATGGCTTCATAAACCTATTTATTGATTTGGCTTCTCAGAAGTGGCTTGCAAGAGCTCCTTGACAGTCACACCTGAAATAAGTTTCTGCTTGTTTGTGTCTTGCTCTGTGACCCCAAAAATCGAAAGTCAAGAAGTATATTAGCATCATGTAGGATTTATTGAGAACTCTTTTATATGGAAAGTCTTTGGAAAGAAGAACAGAGGCCAATTGGGAAAATACACACAAAGTACTGTGTTCATCGTATCTGGGCAACCTAGCTATAATGATAAGGTGTGTGTTCATCTCTAGCTGTTGAGCTGGACTGTTATAAGATCATGTATTGTGGAACAAAAATTGGGCCTCTCTCAGAAAACCTAGAGAAATGACTGAATCAGGACTGAAAAAGGGAATGTTTCCCTAGCAAAATGGTAATATAAATGATATGGGGCTGACTAATAATACAGTTGGTTTTCACTAACAGAAAACCATTATGATCTACAGAACTGAAATCCAGACTCTGAGCTAAGATACTATTTTTTTCTTATTTTCCATCTGAGTCAGTTAGAACAAAACCTGAGTTCAAGAGACCAAGCTGCATGCTTTTTGTTTCCTCATTTAATCACATGTGGGTATCCCTGTCTGATTTGAAGATACACAGAAGATATTCCACGTCAAAAGCCCCATAATGGTGGTTCATACAAAGTTCCAACTCATAATGGATTTATTACACAAATTATCAGTGGACAGGTTAACCAAGTAAATAAATATTTCTCATGGGCAGAACTGATTTTACTTAGATGAAAGGGGATGAAACCAGGATACATGTACAAGTACAGTGCCAAACGTATCTCTCAGTTCATAGGTTTTAAGGTTTCAGTTCTAAAAAGGGATACATCCAACTTAATGTGAGGACCAGAGAGAAGCTCAGCCATGCCAAATCTCTGGCCACCACTTTGTCCTATGTGCATTTTTCTAATGGAGACTATAGTCTGTCTTATTGCTTTCAATGTAGTGAGTCATACCTCCCCAGTTTAAGTGTACCTACTTTAAAACCTAGAGAGAAATTTAAATTAGTATGGAACATATTGTTATGTCTGTAGTCAGTCTTCCTTTGTGTACTCAGAAAGGCTACACTGAATCTGGTTATCATCTTGAAAAATTGATCTAGTTTAAGGATTATTCTTCCTGGAAATGCAGTGGGGCAACTCTTCTCTTGAATATTTCATTCAAAACATTAAGCTGCATGTACATTATAGAAGAATCTGAACATGGGATCTGAGCTACAATCTTAAGCAGTCTGAAAGAACACATCGACTTCCAAATATAATCTCCAGAAAAAAAGAAGGTCTCATTTCAAAGGCAATACACACACACACACACACATATACACACACATATATATGTATATAAATCTGTATGGCATATTTGCTGTGCAGGCCTAGACTCCTTGTGGGGTTGTTTTTCAGTATAGCAAATTAGAAAAATATGCCTAGAATTAAAGGTTACTTAATCAGGTTGAAGCAGCAACTTCAATTCCAGCAACTCCCTCCCACCATGTTACATCTGATAATGTACCCAAGTCCAAACATAAACTTAGTTCAAAAAGATGTTTGGTCCTTGAATGTAAAATGACACTTAGCTTACACAATTAGCCAGGTAATACATATCCTTCCAAGAAAAGCAATTTTTGCCACGGAATTATCTGCATTTTACTAATCTGTGATTGTTAAGTTTTACTTGCTGAAACTTTTCCATATGGCTTTTTGAATACCACTGACCTGCATTTAATTACCACAGAAGGATATTAATGAAGAGGTTGGAAATTTGGCCCAAGCCCTGTTCCACAGTTTGGACAGTCTGATGGAGCCAATGAGCTGAACACTTCTATTGACATGAGGCTGTGCCATTTCACACACAAAAGCAGTGGCAAAAGAGGAGTAAACAGACATATAGAAATAAAACACCCAATGATTTTTGAATTGTCCATAAACTTCTAAACCAGCATAACTGTAAAGTTGCACTGAGTGAAGTGAAGCACTGTTTTGCTAACCCAAAGGACAGTCAGACACGAATTGGTGGAGTAGTTCTTGTAATCAAGACCGTTTTAAACAAGCTGTAAGTGAGACACATGTCCAAAAATGCAAAGTGTGTTTCCCAATTTTAAAGGCAAAATATTGAGCAGAACCAGGCAAGGGTAGGCAGTGTGAGTGCAGAGGATGCGAGGAAGTTAACGTGGGTGGGAAAGCATGTGTTGCTGCCTGGATGAGGAAGTGGTACACCACAGTTACTTCATAAGTGCAAGGGCTTTATAAACTAAATTTCCTAGGGACTGTTTTAAATAGACAAAGAATGACACGCAGCCCTGACAGGCTTTTGTTTGAGAAGGCTGCTTGCCTTCTAAAAACACAGGACTGCCACTTGTACTTTTTCCAAAAATGTCTATTTTTAACCTCAACCTCTTCACATAAACAGTGGAAAGATGCACTGTGTAGTAAACTCTGTTTTGTCTGGCATGAGATTAACAGCTTCCTTAGTCTTACCTGACAATGGAACACATATTCTGGTGTGGTTTTCTTGAACTTCATGTTCCATACCAAGGCTACCCCATCAGGCTCATGTGGAGCATCTTCATTATTGTTATAAGAAGCAACCATCAACTCAGGGTACTAGAAAGGAAAAGAAAAAGCAGATGAAGTAAGATAGATGATAAAAACCTATGAAAAATCATATAAGACAGAAATAATCTACTCTAAATGTGCAATATCTGTTTTTAATTATAATACATGTTAGTTCAATCATATTACTCTGCTTCATTTTGGTTTATATTTTACTTGTCTCTAACATCCTTAAAGCCCCTGATAATTGTTCTCTATCAGTTATTCTCAGATATCCCAAAGGCAATACTATTTTCTGCAGGTACTTCTCAAAAAAGACAACTTTCAGAATTTTTATAAAGGGAATGCAAACGAAGGAAGAGGAAAAATATGAAAGCTGGAGTAATTTTAACATGTTTGCTTAACCATCTCTTCAAGGATAAACTGCTGTCTTAATTGATTTTGATAATAAAAAATGTGACCATGGAGTTGATTTGTTTTATTCTGAAATTCACATTTTTTTCAGCACTCCTGAAAACTATTCTTTCTTATTTCATTATGCACTCTTATTTACTTATGCATAGAATCAAGTTGAAAGATCTTCTTGATGAATCAAATGGCAAAAAACCCACATTTTCTTCACTGAAGCTCAATTTTGCAAGATGCCGAGGTCATCTTATAAAGCACAGGGTGATCTTGACTCAGTGAGATTGATGCAATGAGCACTCTAAAATCAGATCTATATTTTCTTGCACACCCATTATCCACTGTTGTATAGAAGTAGATATGCAACACACACGTATTTGCTTTGTTTATATATATGTATACACACACACATAATATCATATATGAAAAATCAGATTTTCACATTCTTTTGATGACTTTGCATCATTTCTAAACACCATAAGGACTAACAATTTCTCCACAAAACATCAATTACTTTCAGTCTATACAATAACTTCTAGTTCTCCACTCTCACATGTTTGATACTAGGCACCTCTGGTAACCTCTGTCCTTCCCTCTAAACAGTCAAAATGAAGCAGTGGACCTTATGGCATGTCCAGAGAAAAACATGTGGCTTCTGCAGACCAACGAGCCAGCAGCTCAAGTTCTGCAAGACCCACACTCTCCTTTTGTAAACTAGAAATGCTTTCCCTCAAAATTTCTCAATAATATCTGCAAATTATTGTCACTTTTTGTCTTTCCCAGGTAAATTCCTGCCAAACCATTCACCACTTTACAGAGGAACAGTACAGCTGGTACATGCAAAGGGAGAGGGACAAAGAAACTGCCAACTGGGAGCTGTGAATTTAATCCAAAGGCCACCACCCTTTGTATAATTATTATTGGGGTTTGAACCTCTCTGCTCTCAAAATCCATTTGGAAGAAATAATGCACACAGCTGTAACTTTTGCCATCAGCAGCTGTTACTTCCCACTTTCTGTACACATCTAGGGATAATGTGTCACAGAGCTGATGATTTTTCTATTCAAGCTCATAATTCCAAATGAGCCTGGATCCATGTGTGGAAGAATCAGCAATGACATGTGGCCACCATAGCCTCCTCTGTCCCATTTTGAGGCAGCTCTGACTGGGTTGGACCTACATCCCAGCAAGCCCTGGCTGCTGGTATAGCCTGTAAGGACAATTTAGCACCCAATTCACTTGTATGGGATTTAGGGGATGCAGCAGACCAACACCCCTTCTCCTTCCTCAAGAACAGAGGGAAACCTGAGAGTGAATTAATCCCACATCTGAGACACCACCTCTCTGGACACGCTGGTACCAGCCTGCCCTCCAGTGTTCTCATCCATCTCACCCCTCTCTCCTCTGTCTCTCCTGCAACAGATATTACAACCACTTCTGAACAGCGAGCTCAGCTTCTCCTTTGAACTTTTCATCCCACACTGGCCCACATCCAAGTAAACAGCGTGTGCAGTTGGCTCTTGACAGGGCATCACGTTTTGGCTGAACAGGTTAGGTACCATTCACGTGAGTGGCTGAGGTCGTAGCCATGAAGGGGCAGACACCCTGGCAGGCTGAAGTGACAAGCCCTTCCACCAGCATGACTGCAGCCAGCTAGGGTGTGTGACTAGGTCCAAAGTGCCAATTTTGAGGCACTTTGGGGCTGGTAATGGTAAATGCTCCTGGGAAGTTTAGAGAGCATGGTTAGCAGCACGTCTGACCGTAAACAAACACTGACTCAAATCTTGCCAGTCTCTATGCAGATTTTGCAATCAGTTTATGTGTTTGAGTAGAAATACAGTTTACACAGATGCTGGGGTCATACCTAGCTGAGTAAGACCATTATGAGGCTTTTTGACTCTTATAAAACAGAGCTAAATGCAACCCCCTAAATCCACTCTGGCATTGCACACTGCAATGCTTCACTCAATCTACTTGCATTAACAGAATTTCAGTCCTCACCAGGTGCCCAGATGTCCTGTGACTGCAACTGAAAACAACATGGAAATGATGCTGTGCAAAACAGCATTCAAGGCTGCTGCCTGAGAGTCAAGAGAGACACATCACTATTCCCAAGACTATAGTTTTCTTGGTAAGTTAGCTCCCATGGACAGAGTAAGGTGATCCCACTCTTTCTTTGTGTTTACTCTCAGTCTGTTGGGCCTTTTCCTAAGATCCCTGATGAAGCATCTAAGCCATTTTCCTGTTGCTCCATGAAAGAATCAAGGGGCTAGTGGGTTAGCTTTACTGGTATGAATGATCCCACATGTTTGAGACTGTATTTTACATGTGACTGGGAAGAGAATAACTTGCTTAATCAATGCATCAATGTCCTTTGTTTGATTAAGCTTCTACTTGCCTCCAGGCTGTTTCACAGACGCAGTTTTATCGCAGAAAATTGAGCAATGTGTTCTGCAGTTCCCATGATTATTCAAGTTATCCTTCGGCACACTGGACACTGTCATGTCCTGGAGCATGTGTGAGAAGCAGAGTTAGTGGTTAGGTGAAACACCTCTGCCTGGCTCCAGCTCCTGTCCCATGGATAGAATTCAAAGGAGGCAAGAGAGGAAGCAAATCCATACTCCCAAGATACTGTAGGGCAATATGCAGAAGCCCCACGGCACAGAAGAGCCCCTGCTGGAGTGCCAGGGAGCTGAGTGTGAGGAGTTAACAAAGGCGAAGGCAGGAGGGGCCACCCTGGAACAAAGAGGTGGGAAGCAGAACATGCCTTCCAGCCCCAGGGGCTGAGCAATTACATTTGGCAGTGCTCTTCTGAGGCGGCTTTTTTTCTTGCTGCCCTGGGAATACAGTAAGAGCTGCTTGTTAGGAAAATATCAGATAAGAATTCCATGTAATTTCCAGCCCCTGAACAAGTGAACAACCTAAGATAAGTGTTTCCTCAGGCTTATATTTGATTTCTGTAGAAATCCATATGTGCTTAAAGGCCACCCACATCACAATAGTGCATACCTGTTGTTAGGCTGATATTTTGTATGAAAGCAAAGGTATAAATCATTTCTCACACAGGGAGCAAGCTGGATATTACAAGAAGCCTCTCTGCATCTGGCTGTTGTGCACCACCCAGACCTACTCAGCCTACCAGCCACAGTAGCTGTCACCTTACCTGAGAAATACCCCGGGGGGATGGAAGCAGCTCTACTGCCATTTCAAAGGGAAGGAGAGAAAGATGGATGTGAGAGTCACTGTGCTCCTTATCCACTGCCTCTCTCCAGCCCTCACACACCATTTACGTACTGGATCTTGAGCGCTTGCTGTGTCCACGTGCACATCTAATGTGGTGCAGAAAGAGCAGCTACTTCTCAGATTAGGCAAAAGTTGTTCTTAACACTGGGCTGAGCTACTTCTATAGCACCTCTGCTACCCACACCAGGCTCCACTAGGTCTCTGGAGACCCAAGGGCACACCTGAGGCTGGGTTTGGGTCCAGCATGGTAGACTGGCTTGTGCTCGCATTTTTGAACTCTGTGTCGTCTTGGAGGAGTTTTTTTGTATCTGTACTGTGGACTTAGGAGCAGAGTCTCCTAGGTTCTCTCCCCAGGGAAAGCAGATGCTTTGCTCCAGGCTGGAACATAGGAACAGACTGACAGAGATGAAACAGAGAGAATGAGGGGGGCTGGAGTGAAACTGGAACCAAATTAATTTAACAGGACCTGTGATGACGTGTGTGTGTGCTAATCCCAGCTCTCCATTAGAGTAACTAATTAACATGCTTTCTGTACTTTGCTGATGTGACTGTATTGGTTTTGGAAAGCTTAAGCAGCTTTATCATCACTTTTATTTTGCAATGACAATGCTTTGTGGTGCACAGAAACTGGCTACATTCCAGGCATGCTGCTTTAGTATGCCCTGTGGGCAGCTACAGTCTCCTCTTCCATCGCTTGAAGAGAGAATCCAGCATTTTTTGAAAGACCTCTTTGAAATCTTTTCAAGTTGTTCAGATACTTTCACATTTTTAAAACCATAGAATCATAGAATATGCTGAGTTGGAAGGGGCTCATCAGGATCATCAAGCCCTGCACATGACACCCCAAGAATCACACCGTGTGCCTGAGAGTATTGCCCAAATGCTTCTTGAACTCAAAGAGGCTTGGTGCTGTGATCACTTTTATTTTAATATATTAGTAGATTAGAAAAATTAATTTTATTTCTCACTATTCTTTTTTCTATTTTATATATTACTATGTATAACTATTTATTAAATTAATTGTTTAGTAAATTAATTTTAATTAGTTTAATTTTAAACCTTTTATCCTAAAAAATTTCCATGTGCTGAAGGAGCAGAGAGGGAAGGAAAAGTAAAAAGTAAGACTCCATCTTAGTAGGTTTTTTAACCTACTACAATTTTAATACAATATTCTGGGTTTGAAGACCAAGACATATCCAAAAAATGACAGCTTCATTATTGTTCCGTTACTCTTCTTTACAGAGAAATCTGCATTCACTCATCCAGGGCCCTGCTGTTAGCTAAAAAATAACATCCTACTCTTCATAACAAAGAGAAAATCAAGGCTGCCCATAAGTTTTTTAGGGAGAAGTGGAAGTGATATGGAAGCATGTCTCCCATCTTCACATCTTACCTGAAGAGACCAATCCATACAGGTGACAACACGATGTTTTGACCAGTGCTCATCATAAAATTGTCGGTTGAAGGAAAGATTGGATCCTGCTTGAACATCTCTGTGTGAATTCAAACAAAGTGACAAATATTGAAGTACCAGGGTTCAAAAGCTGTGAAAAGTAATGCAGAAGTTTCTGACTACTTCTCAGATCTCTGCCCAGCCTGGGGAAGTCTGCCACCTAGATTTAATTGCTCCCACTGATTGTCTTGCTGAAAATGAATCTGCACCAAGGAATAAATTTTACATCTGTTTCACAGAACCACATTTCTTAATTTTCCACTGCCTTTCTGACTCTTCTGGGTCACCCTAGGCCTTCTCTGCCCGCTTTGACTCTCAGGACAAACCTGGTCCCAGCATTCAGCAGTGGAGATGGCAGGTGCTACAGAAAGGCTGAAGCACATTAGTGTTCCAACATTGTCACACTGATGCATTTTGTCAGTCCCCAGGGATGATGCTCTAGACTAACCTCCAGTAACTTCAGTGCAACATAGCTACTGATCTGCCATGAGGCTTCAACAGATATGAAGCTGTTGAAATCTAAATACTTCCTCTCCTCCTAACAAGTTTTAGTGCTTCTGCTCCCCTACCAATTGCTGATTACAAAACCTGTCACTTCTTGTCTTAGTCATTTAGATTGCAAACACTTTGGGAAATCATCATTTTCATCCCCACAAAGCATAGTACAATGGGACCCATTACAGACCTGAGACAGTAGTTGAATATAAACAACACTAGTTTGAATTTGTAAAAGTATCATAAGCACACACACGTACACCACTGGAACGTATGCATTTACATATATGTGTATATATACACACATTTATGTAAATTCAGTTATTTGTTCAGAATTTGAAATTTCATCCCAAAAATTAATCAAAAAAATAAGCCAGTTGAATAAAATTTCAAATAAAAAAACCTCTCACCCTGTTCAATAAAACACAAAGCTGTTTTACAATATAATTTCAGATAACAAAGTGACCCAGGCCTTCATGAAAAAATTTCAATCTTTTTCTAACTATAAAAATGTTAAATTTTGTTTAAAATTAAGTCTTCCTGTCTCTGGGATTATCTCTAGAAAGCTTATTTTACAAAAGCAAAAAAAGCCCCAAACTGACCCATCTTTTTCTTCTACGTCTCTGCCACTATAGTCAAAGAAGATGTCTGAATCTTCAGCCAAAGCTCGCTCAATTACACGTATTGTCCGATCAAAAAATATCAGGAACTCTTCTGAATGGAGAACTTGTTGTTTTTCTTCTTCTGTCAGTTCTCTAGGAGGAGCTTGGAAAATGAAAAGATGTAGTTAAATGTATGACATTTCACCCCTTTCCCAATGAATCAACATTTTCAGTGGGTTTCTTTTGACATGAAAGCTTGCTGTAGCAATGTAAGAAGAAAAATCAAAGCTTTACTCTTAAAATCATGACTAAGAAGTTCTTAATATATCTAAACATACTCCTGTATATTCCCAGAATGTAGCATTTACATAGAAGAGATCCTATATCTTATATATTTATTATTCTGAAATGGAAAATACTTAAACCTCCCAAATTAAATAAACTTGGTGTTCCTATTTCAGGAAATGGCCGTGACTGACGTTTAGGTAATACATAACTGGAAAAAGCAGAACACTTATGTAACAGGGGACCTGTCAGTGAAGCTGAAGATAAAATAATCTTCTAAACTTATACTACAGTTCTTTGTGTTAAAAGGGCTCACATAATCTCTCCCTCCACTTCTTCCAATTTCTACTTGCTGCTACTGATAAATTCTGCCTTTATGAAGCAATGAAGTAAATAACCAAAGATATTCTCTGCGGCAGCAAAATTGAAAGCAACCAGCCAAACACCAGTTTCTTCAAGGCAGTGTTACTCCTTACAGAGGAATCCTGAGATGCAGAGCAACCAGTGTTACTGAGCCATGGGCAAAGCTGCCCTGGGAGGGGTAGGTGCTGTTTTAGGCACTGGTCAGGATAGTCTGACGCCTACAAGATGAAGTTACTTCTTTACACATACACAGAGATGCTAAACCTTTACTTCCAAACTACTATTTCTAGTGTGCTCCTTCATTTGAAAAATACTATAGTTGTAGGATGCACCAATGCAATGTCTCCATCAGTGTAATGACCTATTGGTAAACTACAACACAATATCAGAGAAAAGGAAATGGGGATGCTGCTATTGCTACAGTCCAAATTTCAGTTCTCAATTACACTAACAGGATCATATTGATATTGTGGCAATACTGCATATCAATTATGCCTATGCCTGTGCTTTTAAATCATCATTTTCATTATATTTCAGAACTACTTGTATTTCAAAAAATGCCATTAGTATCTTCACAGTTACACCAAACCAACCTTTTAACTAGCTTAAATTCTCAGCATGAAAAATCTTTTGACATAATAAAAATTATGATAACATTGAATTTTGTTTCAAATTTATAATTAGGAACACAACATATCGGAGAAGAGAAGGCTTAGAGGTGACCTCATCACTCTCTTCAACTACCTGAAGGGAAGTTATAGCCAGGTGGGGGTTGGTCTCTTCTCCCAGGCAACCAACAACAGGACAAGGGGACATGGGCTCAAGCTCTGCCAGGGGAAGTTTAGGTTAGATGTTAGGAAGAAATTCTTTACAAAGAGGGTGATCAGGCATTGGAACGGCCTGCCCAGAGAGGTGGTGGATTCACCATCCCTGGAAGTTTTTAAAAGAGATTGGACATGGCCCTTAGTGCCATGATATAGTAATTAGAGTTGGATCAGGGGTTGGACTTGATGATCTTGGAGGTCTTTTCCAACCCAATCTATTCTATGATTCTATGATTCTATGATAAATAGATTTATTGCAAAATTACAGAGACTTGTACTTAGACTTTTACTGGTGATCAAAGGTCTTCTGTGTTTGGCTTTACACTTCAGATTTGAGGTGTTTACTTGTGAAAACGATCTTGTGTCTCCCTAGGACATATTGGATTAAAACCCCAGCAGCCAAAAAGTGGAATTCAGCAGCTCAGAGAACACCCACTATACATCAAAGTTTAACTCCCAGCCCTGTCATACATACCTCAATGTTTAATTAGACAATGAGTGAAACAGTTTAAAGCTGCAGCCTTAAGTTATTTTCCAATTGTGGTGCCATGCTACACAGCTTGTTTCTGGTTTTCCCATGCTTCATCCTCGATTCATGTGCTCCAGTGCCCAAGTAGGATGCCACCACCAGCCCCCGGGACAAGAATGGGTGGAAAGGCACAACAGCAGGCAGGAGTAGTGACATGGTCATTATTACTGCAGTTCTCAGCACCCCCTGGTTTCAGTGTACCTGTTTTCAGAGTTGTTGTGGTTGGGAGAGGCTACTATCACCACACTTAGGTTTGCCTCAAGTGGTCAGAGCGTTAGCTCTGAAAGACAAAATCTCTGCACTACACCTGAGCTAAATATAGAGGGTTGGAGAAATGCAGAAGATGGAGGAACAGTTTGGCCCTCAGGAGACAGAGCAGCTAAGAAGTTACAGACTTGAGCCTTTGATGATTTCCTATGGCCTTGGCCCTGTGTCTCCTACCAGCAGGTTAGTAGTCCCTGTGGAGCTTCACACACCCAGAGAATATCTATGTCCCCCTACATGGTCCCCCTGAGTAGCAGAGCAACAATTACCAAGGCAGGAGTACAATTTCCTTGTAAGTGCTTTACACAGAAGCAAAGCATGTGAAAAAAAAAGAGTGACCAGCAAAAAGTACAGGTTGACCTATTGCAGCATTCACTGCTGAATAGTAATTGGTGCTAAGGGAACTCATCTGGCAAAGAAACCTGTAATGAGGCAATATCCCATCATCACCCCTAAAGCATTGCTTTCTGAGAATCAAAGACAACAAACATGACAATGCAGCAAAATGGCATAAAAAGGGGGGAAATAACTGCAAAGGCAACCGGAAAACTCATTTTAAACAGCTCCAAATGGTAAAAATTATTTGTTAAATCAAATCCTCTCTACAGCTTGGAAATACAAATTTATTACTCATCCATTTGCCGACTATAACTGCAAAGAAAACATAGAAATCAATAGAAAGGGAAAAGACAAAAAATAAACAGCTTGAGAGCTGTGGAGTGCTCACAAGAAGTGGAGACACACAATTGTAGTTCTACCTCAGCAAAATCTCTCTTGCAGTTAGCACCGATCTGTGGGAGGCCAGCAGTCTATTAAACCATCAGGAACACCTTGGCTAAAGTTTGTAGGGCATAAATCAGCTTACCTCATTCATCTGACTGACACACCAGATGCCCCATGGCGATATTAAGCTTCATATTTTAACCTTATTTTCTTCTTTCATTCGGCTGCCTCTGAAGTTTTATTTGAGGCAATCTCTTCTTACAAGAATGTTAACATCATTACTTTTTCCAGAGTAAAACACTGCTGTAACTACTGTAAATACATGAAGTATAAGCAAAAAACACAAAACAGACAGGTTTTCAAATATGAAGGTTTTCTAACCATTTATCTTTCAGAGCCATTTCCATTTTCTCCTTGTTCCTTCTCCCTGTCCATTATCTTGAATAAAATAAAAAGAATCTATGTAATTTTCTGCAATTTTTCTTCCGATCTGTGAGCTTACAGTGACTTTGATCTCAGCTTTCAAGAAACACAGGCTCTCTTCAAGGAAAATTCTGAGAAACATAAGTAGCTGATCAAAGTATTTTTTTGTTTTGTTTTGTCACAGAGACCTATGTGATGTGACAATATCTCCAGAAATTCCCCATAAGAATACAGCATTTGTCTTCAGATACCTGCTCTCCCTGACACAAAACCCAAACCAACCACATCTAACCTTCTGTGTCTAACAAAGCCCTGCGCAATGTGGAGTTTACCAATGCTAAAAGTTACGTGCTTATTGCCTGGAGTGCAATGAGCGCTCCTGCAGAGGAAAACCTACACTTTGCTCTTGCTTCTACACCACAATTTCCTAATGAACTGTTGTGCCTGTGCTCTGATCCCACCTGGAGGAGCTGAACCCATCTGTGGCCCCTCACAGCTCACAGCAGGAGGACCCATGGTGCAGCCACCAGGTCCTGTCTAACAGGAGCACTGGGTACCCTGTCTGTCCACGAACCCATGAAGACATTGATGGGACCACGTACGCACGAGTAGAGTGCTGTGTAGGTGGCTCTGGGGTTATGAGGTCAACAACATCTATCAAAGAAGCCTGGTGTTCATGCTAATGTATAATACTGTACAAAATCAAATGGATTTTGCATTTAAAATTAAATCACTGTGCAGTTATATATGCACAGAGGATGCCACAGGGAAAGAAAAAGTGAGGTGTATCTGTTATGAAAGATATTAGACACTTGTGTTTGAACAGAATGGTCTTGAATATGTAACAATAATTGAACATGATGTGAAAACAACCAATTTATTCAAGACTTATTTATGAAAAATAGGAACATTTTATTATTTCACATGATTTAACATGTTCCTCAGAAATAACATGTTTCACATCAGGTCCTTTGTCCATAAATTTCTTTATACAAAACATAAAAAAAATTATATTAAAACATTTTCTTGAGTTTTTAGGAACTAAGATAAAATTACTGCAGGCTTGTTCTTATCCTTCAGAAGCTTATTTATAGTAAATATAACAAAAACAGTTGGGATCACAGTGAAAAATCAAATTCACCAATATTAAAATACCAGGATTTGAGTCTTCTTCCAAAGAGACTCAAAAAGACAGTAAAGAAAGTCATATTTCAATAATTGTAATAGACTATAAAAAAGATTCTCCTGGAATCTCAGCAATTCTAAAAACCTGACAAGAGAACTGAAGTCCATTAAAGAAAAAAAAAAAAGAGGGGGAGGACAAAGAAGAAAAATACCAAAAGCAGTAAGTGAACAAAATAAAAGGCAAACTAATAAGAACAATAAAGCAGGAAGCAGCCTTGTTATGAACCCAGAGATAACAAGAGACAGCCGAAGGAGATTAGTAATACCCCTTTAAGAACCATATTATTTCTTTCAGCATCTATTTTAATCCATGTAAACTTTATGTGTGCTGATGAATGAGGATGGTCAAAAGGTACAGGGTGAGAACCACAATGTGTGAAGAGGCTCCCAGCAGCAGTCCTTGCCTGCTGAGAGCTTGTGATCCTCTTGTTTTTCTTGTGCTTTGCACTTTCATGTCAGGCTTGATAAATTCCATAACCGGCTTTGTGCCATATCAAGGTTTGATATATGTCATATCTTGGTTGTGTTGGCAAGACCCCACATGGCATAACTGCTGAACATATAAAGGAAGATGTCAAGCTGCACTTAAAGATTTTTTGATTCTGGAGATGCAGAGCCTTAAATCTGGATCTGTGGCAGGCAGGGCTGTTCCCACTGACTGTGCTTCTCCAGAAGTCATGCTGAGCACCATCCCTGAGCATGCCTGAGTTGGGCTGCAAGGAGAGGTTGGCACACCTGAAGCTTGCTCAGTGTCAGTGTCAGTGAAATTGTGGCATCACTGGCTATTAAAAACCTCATCACGACCTGTCCTTCTCTCCTGATACTACTGCCTGAGCAGTCGAGAGCAAAACCATCTCCACCAGCACGGTCTGCTATGTGGACACCCAAGCCCCATGTGTAAAGCCAGGGCAAGAGCAGGGCACAGCAATTCTTTGGAGCTGCAAATCCCAGCCTTCCCATCACAGCCTTTCATGCAAGTTTCTGTGGATAATACTCATGGCTTCAGATAAATGCAGGTTGAGGCCCACTTTCAAGACCCAGCCCGTCCCATTGGTCATGTGGTTTCTACTGACACAAAGAGGCGCCTTAGGTGGAGCTCCAGAGCTCTGGGGTGGTAGAAAGCCCCATCCCACTTGATGCCACAGGTTGGGACCAGTCTCTTGTTTATGTGGTCAGGAGAGGCTGGGAACAGGCAGACCCCATCCCAGTTCACCATCAGGTATCCCACAATCGATTCTTTCAAAAACAGTGGGGAGAACATGCACCTGAGACACAGGTGACAACAGGCAGCCCATGGAGTAAACACAAGGTGACCCCAAGGCTTCATATGCTTCAAGTGGTCAGCAAGTCAGTTCTTCATTTCCCACTCCACTTCGGGAGGCTCAAGCTGTTCCTCTGCCCTTTGCACCTCCTTGGTAAGGAAGTTCTGCAAGAGGTGCCAGACAGGCTGCCCCAGTGCAGGTGCACTGTCTGCCTTATGGTGATGCTGAGAAATGTCCAGAACGAGGGTCAGACCCAGCAAACACCCATGACAGCTGAATAATCCCACAAAACCCCACAGAGCAACTGTTGAGGTGGGGGAGGGAAGATGAGGAAATGAAGCATGCTATAAATATCTGTAGAATTAAATTGGCCTACCTATAAACCACAGAGAAAAAAAAAATCACATTTCCTCTTAAAATACCATTATAAAAATAGAGGACCCCTGACCCGTTGGCTTGGAGAGAGGGAGACTGAACAGACTAGATTCAAGCTCTATTTTTTTCTTAACCTAGTTTTCAGTTTTACTCATGAAAAAATTGTCTGCCTTTCTCTTCCTGCATTTCTCTCTCCCATGGATTTTTTCTTACATTTCTATAACTCAAAAAAAGCCACGCTGATTTTTTTTAATCTGTTAAAAAATGTGCTCCCTGAGCTGAAACCAAATTTCAGCCCAGAGCAAATTTTTACGGCTGGGTTATAAATCCCTGAAAAACAGGATTCATAATGGAAGTGCTGACACAGCCTTAACTACTATATAGCAGTGTGAATGGCGCCACTATAATATCTATTAGAGATTCTTTAAAAAGTTTGCAAAATATTGTCTTGCCTTGCAGAGAAAAAGAAGCCAGAGTACTTAATGCCAACATAAACATGCTTTTAACCCATTATGTGCTAATTTGCAGAAAAGCTATTAATTCTGAGTAGGCACACAGAGTGCAGCACCGACAGGAAATGTTCTTCTAAACCCCTGTTTGACTTGTAACATGGTTTTAATCACTTCCATGAAACACAAACGATGGCTTCAAATTCTGAATGTTGCTCAGAACATGAGAAGGGTCATTACAACAGAGAGGAAAATGGGATTTTGTAGGCAAAAGGGCTAAAACCAACAGGGAGAGAAGGACACAGAACACTACAAAAATGGGACTCCGTTCCGTGTCAGTTTGGGGATGGCGACTTCATTTGATTCACAGCATTTAATGCCTATCATCAGCACGCCGCTATTTTATCCATCACAACACATACTGCAAGTCAAGTTCACTTTCTATCAGACAATGAGCATGTTTTCTTCTTCCTTGAACCCAGTCAAATGTTAGCACCTCACCAAGCCTGTTCTGCTAAAACAAGCTGTGCCTTATTTTTACAGCCTGCAGTTTGTGTGTCTGAGACGAGTGCTAAACCAGCCCAGCTGATCTTCTGCTCCTGTGGGGGTCTGTTAGGCAGGGAAGGGGAGCACTGCCTCCCGACTAAAACACAGCAAAGAAATGAAAGATTTTGGCAGTGGCAGTTGGTCAGCAAAGTACACAAGAGGTTAATTTGAAAACCCACAAAAAAAGTAAAATAACTCAGTTAAGGATTGTATTTTGATTTTCTTCTTCTTCTTTTCATGCAGGAGTTTGTGCTTTCTCCCCATGTATAAGTGTTAGTGCTACTTTTCTGTAGGAATAAATGGATGTGGTATCAGCTGTAAGTTGAATACTGGAGGGACATTCAGCAACTCAGGACAGTGCTTACGCACTGAGTGCAGTGATAGCGGTTTTTAGGGCTTTATGGTGTCACCAGTAAAAGAGACACTTTGTTAGTCCAGTGACTGCTAGAGGCTGTGTGTGAGTTGACCTCACAGTTCTGGAAGGAAGTGTAATTTTAATGAAAAAGTAAGTTTTTCTGTGTTGCCACGTTTCTTGCTCATGTCCTCTGTTATGCCTTTGCAGACTTGCTTGACTCCTGTTCCTGCTGTCACCACTGCTCCCACAGCTCCCCTCTGCCCATGGCAGTGGTGGTTGGGGCCAGTGGGAGAAGTAGAAGGATGAGGAGCAGGAGGAATGAGTCTCTCCCTCCATATTTCTACAAGGACCTAATGAGCAATGAACACCACAGGATTTATGGCATGGGTGATTTCTGTGATGCTCTTAAGACGAAAGAAAGATCAATTTATAATCAAAACAATGCTGCTGATACTGCAACTCACTTCAGCATGTGAGGATAGCAAATATGGGCACTGTATACTGGACTCAGGATTTTTTGGACACTGAAGAAAGCATACCAGTCTCTCCTGGATGAGAAAGAAGCATCCACAGTTGTATTTACACTGTTAAAGATTTCATGGGCTTCTCTGTAAAATGACTACATATTTTTCTCCTAACGAGATTATCTTGTGAAAAACAAAACCAAGGTCACAGAATCATCCTGATAATGATAACCATAGCAAGAAGTGGCATAGGCCCTACCTGAAGAAGTAAGTCACCTTTCAAGAGGCTAAACAGCATGTTGAATAGTCCTGGCAAACAGAGGTAAGAAATGCTGGAGAAGAAACCAATTTCCTTTCACCCCAGAGCTGCTGCTGTTTCAGCTCTTTTCCTCACTCCATACAGGAGTGAGCATCGAGTGTTGAAGGCATTGACACACTAGAACAGACAATACTCCAGTAAATTCCTAAATTTCACATCCTTCTTCTAATTTGAAAGCTAGGACAGGTCCAAGAGAAGGAAAAGAGACACCATGCATACCTACCATGACCAGTGCTGACATGCATGACTTTGGCAAGTGTTTCTTGTCTTCACCAGAATCAAGAGGTAACCTGAATTTTTGTCTCTTGTAACCCTGGAGAGTGTCTCAGTACACAGGAATGGACAGAAGGCCTGGACCTGCCTGGCTTCAGGTGGTTTTTTTTAAGTTCCCTTGAAGCAGTTTCCACAAAAAGTTTTTGTTTTGACAGTCAATATTTTTCCAATGAAATGGTTTTCTGCTGGAAGGTTCCTGATTACCAAGAGGTTTAAGTTTGTCACTCTCAAGCAGGCAGTTATGCTCTAAATATCTTTGAAGACCAACCAACTTTATAGAGCTGCTGGAATGCCTGGCATCTGTATTTTAAATCTTTCATGTGAGCAGAGTATTTGAGCCAGAGGAGAAATTAGCACCAGTCCTGGGATCCAAGAATCTCTACTTTGTTCCCAAATTATAAGGACATGTAGCTTCTTCTAAACAGCTGAAGTCTTGTGCCTTTCACAAGCTTCTCAGGCCTACCAGCTGGGTCACTGGGATACAATTTTCTGCTTTATGCCACTCATACGGTTTTGAATCAATAAAACTGGTGACTATTTCAATTTCGGTATTCTCAATAATAGAAACTACCTACGAGAGTAACTACTGGCAGGACCCAGTCCTTTAAACATCTAGTAATATCCTTTTCATTTTTTAAAGTACCTTCTTTCACTTCCTGCTTCTGGTCTTGATTTTCCATCTCCAAGTCATCCTGTGCTTTTGGTTCCACCATCTCTTCATCATCTTCATCCTCTAAAAAAAAAACCAACAAAACAAAACAAGTTAAAATAAAGATTTGTGAGATTCTCCTCCTTAAGGGGCCTAGAAATTGTATGTCTTCTTTATAATTATAAAATATATATTATAATAAACCCAGGTAAATCAAAGTGCACAATACACAGAACATCTACATTTATGCTCAGAGTGACACTTTCAGGCATTTGCCCCCAGAGTGCAAGATACTCTGCTAGAACAGGGCACCTGCCACTTCTGCTCCCTGTAGCAACTTCCCATCTCAGATGTCAGCTGAATATCTCCCTGACCTCAGAGATGACTTCTTGGATGGCATAAGGACAGATACAATCATGTTTCAGCCTGGCAGCTATTTCATGGTTGGGACACCTGCTATCCAGACACCTAATTTCCAATTCAATTCTCACAAGATTAATTTGTCTTTTGACCTACAGGAAGAGGTTAAACAGAAACCTGACCTCAGGTCAGATGCCACTAGCAAGGAAACAAGCATGGTACAGTTCTGAAAACTCATCACCATCAACTGGGGAACACAGCAACCAAAGTGGCATTTGGAGCTTAAGAACCATTCTTGCATTAATACGAATTTAATGAACACTAAAATTTGACACATGTCAGTTACTACTGCCAGATGTTTCAATGACCTTTCCTGACCTATGCAAATGCCTCTCTCCCTTCCCCTCTCTCCCCACACTCACATGTTCTCATTTTATTCAGGAGGGCAAATCATTCATTCTTTGATGTTTGTCTGAAATTAGAAGGGTTCTGATTGTCCAGACCAAAACATAAGCAGAGCTGGAAAGATAGTGATGCACTAAAATGGCTCAAAATCTACTTAGTTCTCATTACTTGTTCCCAGCTGTAGCAATGTGATCCATTCTCCTGTGCCCAGAGCTGGCACACAACCTACTCATATTCTTGAGAGGGTAGAGACATCCAGCTTTCTAGATTCAGTGAGCTAGGAGGACTGAAAATAGAGCTGGTCCTAAAAGTATATGACAATTAGGATGAGTAAATCTGTGGGCTATGGAGGAATTATTTTGGAGTGATTTTGGAGCTTGACATACCACCAAGGCATAGCAAGCACAGTGCCCTGTGCTGGTCCATGGCATGAGAGAACATGCTGTCCTGGCCCGGGGGCATTCAGCTGTCAGGAAAAACACTGCAGTTCTTCCAGGGCTTTCTGAGCAACCTGGCTGTCACCACACAGTTCTTTGTGACATGGTGCTTCTCCAGGCACACTCGCTGCTCTAACCTGCCATGTTAACACAGCCTGGAAGTGAACAGGGGGAAACAGGTCATACTTCTCCAGCTACTTAGCTACTGGCACCTTCTCCTGCAAAGGCTGGCTGCAGTCATTCCTGGCTTCTTGAGGGGATGGTGGTGCTGACAGGTTGCATTCAGCCAACAGGAACATGCATTTGCATTTTGTTTTCAACAATGTAATAGGCACCATGCTATTCCCACCATGTTGCCTACCTAAGGACTTCTTACCCAGAAGCCCACAGGGGACATGTAAGCTGGTATCTTGGCTAGAGAGCATGGCTTAGCCACATACTGTAAGGAAGTGTCTCATCATGGACAGGTATGCTTTTCCCTCTTGGAAAAATGAGGAAATCTTGGCATAAGATCTGCCATTGCTCCCCCTACCTCTAGCGACTGCAGTAAAGAGAAAGGGAAAGCCCATCTCTCCAGTCACCAGGGATAACCATGTGCTCCACAGGCTGGGAAGGGAGGAGGAATCCGGTGTGGATGAGGAGGCATTTCCAAAATTAAAAGCACTAGTTATGAATGCCACTCCTTTATCAGGGATTCTTCAGATCATGAAACTTGAAGTGTAGGAAAGGTAGGGCACTCAAGATGCCTCCCTTTGATGCCTTCCCTGACCATTACATTTCCTTAGGTACCCTGCATTGAAGGGCTACAGAGAAAAGCTTTTAGAGAGCAAGGCAGGGTGTTTCAGTTTGGCAGGGTAAACACATTGCTCTGTCCCTTGGTTGAAAGACAGATAACATCCAACTCAGTCAGCAGAGAGTCAGCGAGAGGAGCTCTCCTGCTGTACACACACAGGAGGCATAAAAAAAGGTCCTTGTGCCGTTGGTGTGCGGTGCTAGTGGAGATGGGGATGTATGAAGGACAGAGGCACTCCCAGTCTCAAAGAACAGATGAGAAGTGTGAGAAGAGAGAAGAGTGACCAGCACAGCAGGGAGTGAATACTCTGCTAACCTCAAGTACATATGCACGCACAGATAGGATCTCAATGGTGTACTCATATATGCACACAGACACGCTTACGGCAGATCCTAATGAAGCCAGCTCCCACAAGAGTTTTGTGAGTCTTGCATTACAAGTTTTCATTCCCTAAAGCACCAGCTCTTGGAGCCAGCTGTTTACATATGGATTTCAGCTTCCATTTTTAACCTGTTTCCAACCTGTCAGCTTGTGCACGGAAGTTTCAGAAGGTGGAGGGTCAAGAAAATTTGCAGAGCAGCAAACTAAAACAACATTTAATTGAAAGTATTGTGATTTTAAAGGCTTCGTGCTATGCTTTTAAACGCCTCATTTGTAATTTGGTAATGCATAGGTACAATGTAGCAAATGTAGAACTTGAGATTTAGTAGCAGGTTTTCAGATTGAAGTGAAGCAAATCTATCCCTGTCCCCTGGAAGTTCTTGATCCCCCTGATTTTGGGGGTCAAAGTAGTTGACTGCCTGTAGCCCATTCCTGCTTCTAAAGCAGAGTAGGGGTGAATGGCTGAGGTACAACTGGAGCACGGGGGTGTATCAATACTTCAGCCCCCATTAAGGTAGATCATCTTTATTTCCCTTCCTCCCTCTTCTGGGAAAAATCAAAACCAAGTTTCCCAAGAGTTCTCTATATTTAATTGCAGCAGGAACAATCAGTAAAGGTTATTAAAACACGTGCCCTGCCTTTTTCCAAGAGCACACACATCAATAAATTAGTTTTACTGAGAAGGCAGTGCAAGAGTTTTTAGCAGATTAGACATAATTCAGATGTCCTTATTTATTTACAGAGAAATGTATACACATACACAGAGAAACTCAGCTAAAAGAATGATAAGGTTGTGAGCCAAATGCTAAAATGTTAGCAAATGCCAGAATTTGGGTTGCCTGGGCACGATTAACTCCTTTCCCCTCCCCATATGTAGGCATGATGACATAATTCTGGAATTTCCTCCCTCTTGAGTGGTTGGCTTCATTTTCTGGGTGCTCAACAAGAGACACCTGGGACCTGAAATGTAGAAGTGCTGAGAGCTGAAGTCAACTGGCCCTGTGCTTTGGGTGGAGAAAGTGCTGGGGAAATTCTACACATGCAAAGGCTCCCACAGCTCCCTCTTTCAGCTTTCAGTGAAAGTTGTCATTCTGGCATTTTTGTCCTTTCTTCCCTTGTGCTTAAGTACTTTTGCATGATGGCAATAATATTGTAAAGCAAATAGAATTCTCGTCCTATACAGATGTATTGCAGAGTTCATCAGGATTTGGGAGATATTAAGATGCTGTTGTGGAAGCACCAGAGAAAAAAAACTTTGGAAGGGGATTAATGGTTTTTGTGTGTTCAGTGTAATACTTGGATCATGTGCATTAACATGAGATCTGAGGCCAGAGCACTGAATGGAATAAGATAAAACCAGAAAGGTTAAAAGCTGCCTCCCTGTTGACTGGCTGAAGCAAGAATCTGTAAAGGAAAAAAACCTACATGGTATCATGTAATTAAAATTGTGTAACCATACATCTTCAAAAGGGCTAATTAAGGATGCCCATGAGACCTGAATTCTGGACTATCCAATGTTGCTTGTCTTTGCAACCTGAATTTGCCGTATTTTTTTAATCTATATATTACACACTATTTAATGCCAATGTATGCATACTTGAATATGTTCATAGTACATACATTTGCTCTTGTGCCTAAGAACAGTTATGCATTTGTACATTTGATGGTACATACACCTACATTATAGAATAATGGGAAACTCTTCAGCATTCATTTTCATGTATATTATTTACACGTAACAAAGACAGCATTTATTGTACATTTACTACCAAATCTGTGAGCATCAACACAGTTGTTTGTTTCCACATGTGCCCACTCAGGTTGGATCTGCCATTGCAGTAATTGTCCAGGGAGATGAAAAAACTTGTGTAGTTCCTGAACACATATAGCCTTTTCCTATTTAATCATGTAACTGATATTGGGAAGTTAAGAGAAATAACTTCTTAACTGCTTACATCACAGTACTAGGAGTGTTCTAGTGACATTTAGCAAACACAGAGATGCTACTAACACCAGTAGTGTTATACTCTGTTCAGAAGAGAGCAAGGTGTAATGCTATCAGAACTCAAATGTCTATTAAAGGAACCACATGAAAAAGAGCTAGTAGTGAAGTGATGAAGAAGCTGTTCAACACTTATCCTTTGTAGATCTAAAAAGACTTTGCAAGGAGGCCAGTTTAGATATTCCCATTTACCACACAGAAGCTGACAGATAGACCCACTCAGTAGCAGATCACTCAGTAGCAGCTGAGGGAAGAATAGAGAGTGGGCTTCAGAGTTGCAGCCTTAAGTCCTGCCCACTCAGGCCACCCTGCCTTTTACTGTAAATAAACAAATCCTCAGTAGAAATTATCATTAAATTCTTAGGTTAATAATCTTTGTCTACTGAAGCTGGTGGAGCTGTATGTGGGATTAATATAGACTGAGACAGCTGGACCTCCTCTTCTTAACTCAGAGCTTGACTCTCCAGGCTCTAAGAGGTGGCAAATCAGTCCTAACAGTGCTTCATTTAACATGACAAAGTAAAAGCAGAGCAGTTGTTCTCAGCTTGGTCTTATCTTAAACAGTCCTGCTGCTGTGCCAGACCAGAAGTGGTCTTGTCTGTCTAAAAGCTTGTCTATTTTTTCGAACTATAGAGTTTGCTCTAATAAAAGAGTATGAACTCTCCCTACAAACCTGATTTTGTTTCATCTGGGTGTAAGCTACTAA